ACCTCACAAAGCGGCATGTTAGCTGTAGCCACGGTGAGAACATCACCTCCCACAGTCTTCTCCTATCCCTGCACCTGCTGAAGCTGATTCTGATGGTGTTGTCCACATAGATGTCATGATGGGCCAGTGTGTCATCTCTGCCTGTTCCCAAAGCCACCAGTCCTCTGGGAGCCTGAACTGTGCTAGATTTTAAATAGGGATAGAATGGTAAGGGCTGCCTTTCCAAGCCAAAGCCACCGTTTTCCAGCCAGTCTCAGACACCACTCGATTTGTATTGTAGGGTCTCACGGTCGCTTCTAAACATTTTGGTCAGGCCCTGACTCTCACCCAGAAACACAGCTTCCACTGAAAACAGCCCCATCCGTTTTGGCCCTTATTCTTCTAACTACGGGGACTCGACCCCGGTGTGGGGGCCGCAGAAGGCTTCACGCCATTGCTTCATTCCTTCCTCTTCCTGCTGGTTCTTTCCCTTTTTCCTCCCACGGTGACTGCTGAAATCTCCAGGTATATCAACGGACGCCAACAGGTACGGACTGTGGTGGTGACGGGTGTTGACGACAGTCTTGGGGTCCGGGGCCAGTGAATTCTGAGTAACTACTTGATGCTGTTCACTTCAGAGGTTTATGCGGGCAAAATGCTTCAAAAGCACGTCCCCACCTACAAAGAGGCGGGAGACATGGCTACATCCATTGCCTGGTGAACGCAGTGGGAAATTCTAGGGGAGCAGGTAAGCCTTGGCATATTTAGGGCAGTCCCCTGGTTCTCCTTGTGCCCTTCTTGGAGTTTGGCTTGAGGTCAGCAGTACAGTGCTGGGATCACAGCAAAAGGTGGACACGAGTTTGAATGAGGCACTGTGCATGCTAACAAATCACATGGATCAGTCTCTGTAACCTCGACCACCCTTGGATCTGAGTCTAGCTGTAATGTGGAAAGGGTGCCAGCCAGTCAACGGCCATCCCAGGTGCACAGCCCAGGGAGCTCCCAGGGAGTCTAAGCAGTCATTCTGCAGTGCCACAAAGGCAGTGTTTGCCACCAGTCCACCAGTCCACCAGTCCAGCGAGCTCAACTGCAGGATCCTCTGCCAAAACAGCCTGCTTGTAAAGTCCTCATAATAAAGCATTGGAAATGCTGTGTGAGAATGGGGAGGTGTCTGCTGGGTGCGGTGGCTCATGTCTGTAATCCTAGTGCTTTGAGAGGCTGAGGCAAGTTGATTGCTTGAGTCCAGGAGTTTGAGACCAGTCTGGGCCACATGGCAAGACATTGTCTGTACAACAAATACAAAGCATCGCTGGGCATGGTGGCTCGTGGCTGTAGTCCCGACTACTTGAAAAGCTGAAGTGGCAGAAGGGTAGAGTTCCCTGAGCCTGGGTGGCCAAGACTGCAGTGAGCTGTGATCCCGCCACCACACTCCAGCCTGGGCAACAGAGTGAGACCCCGTCTTAAAAAAAAAAACAAGGATGTGAGCTTCACTGTCATGCACATCGTGTGAACCTGGGTCAGATCTTGGCTCTCTCTCTTTTTTTTTTTTTTGAGACGGAGTTTCCCTCTTGTCACCCAGGCTGGAGTGCAATGGTGCGATCTGGGCTCACCGCAACCTCTGCCTTCTGGGTTCAGGCAATTCTCCTGCCTCAGCCTCCTCAGTGGCTGGGATTACAGGCACACGCCACCATGCCCAGCTGATTTTTATATTTTTAGTAGAGAAGGGGTTTCACCTATTGACCAGGATGGTCTCGATCTCTTGACCTCGTGATCCACCCGCCTCGGCTTCCCAAAGTGCTGCTGGGATTACAGGCTTGAGCCACCGTGCCCGGCCCGGCTCTGTCTCTTTACCAGTCACAGGGCTTCCAGTTATTTACTGACTCTCTCTAAGTAGGGATTTCTCTGCAGAATGGAGACAGTAATACCTGCCTCAGAGTGCTGTTGTAAAGGAGAGGGAGATAAGGGCGGTCCAGCATCCAGCACAGCGCTCAGCATGCATGGTTACTCAGTGTCCTTTCTTTTCTTATTACCAAGTCTTGACTCAATGCCCTGAGGACCCACACCAGGTTGCTGAAAGACTCTGAGTGCCTTTGTCAACCAGATCATTTCCACAGTCACTTCCTAAGTCCCTAGACTGCATGAAATAATCATCATTTCATTTTGCTCCTGAGAACCATGTGATTGGCTTTTAATCAGTTCACTTCTCAGGGTAGGATTAGACTAAGACCTTGTAGATCAGATCTGAACTTCCACGAAAGCACTTTCTGTTTTGCAAGAGACCTAGACTCTTCCTGTTTTCTGTAGATAAAAGTAAATTGCGGTATGTGACGTACCCAGCACTATGCTGGCACATTGGAGTGGTTAATAGCCGCATTCATTATTTCTACTGCTTACCGGAGACTCCGCCAGCCACGTAAATGGCCATTGCAACTGCCATTGCAAATCCAACATTGATAGTAATGATCCCTCCAAAAAGTCCTCGACTGAGAATAGCTTGGGCCACAGAGCCGCATCCAAGGACCTGGAGTGAGAGGAGAACGCAGCAGGTCAGTGGGGATGGCTACTGTCAAAAGCAGTGGAAACTCACGGTAACAAGAAGTTTTTCAAAGCAAACTTGTGCATTGTGTTGCCTTGGGTTTTCTGCAAATCCAATTATAATGATCCAGCTATGCACAGAGAGCAGAATGGTGGACCCCAGGCTGCGTCTGGCCTTCCGATAGATGAGTTTTGCTGCGCATGCACAATGCTCAAATTTTGCCTACATTTATAAGTCCGGTAATTTCACGCAATACTCTAGGTATCTGGTTTTCTTTAAAGTTAAACTTTTAATTTTTAGATAATTATAGACCCACCTGTGTTGTAAGAAAGAATACAGAAAAGTCCCATGTACCTGTTACCAACTGGCTCCTTTAAATCAATGAGAAGATCTGGTTATTCACAGAGAAATATGAAGCACAGTAGCAGCTGGCGGATCCCTGTAGACAGAGCTTATGCCTTCCCACCTGGCTCACTCCGCTGCTCTTCACTCATTTAGGTCACCTTCCTGGCCTCTGTAGGTATGTGGGTTTGACAGTCCTGTTCCTCTGGACCCCAGTATAAAAGCAAGACTAGGCACACAAACCGCCATACACACATCCAATAAAGGGGAAAGGCCATTTGTACCATGTATTAGGAAGTATCTCATGTGCGAGAAAACAAAGGAAAACTTTAGGGGGATAGATTTGGCACTCAGGACCCCCTTATCCACCCCTTATTCGCATATGTTTTCTCCCTGATGGGGCTGTGGTTTTCTAGGGAGCAGAGGCTGCCAAACTCACTGCTTCTTGTATTTCCTGTGGCACCAAGCCCAGTGCTGTGCTGATAGTAAGAATTCTGCAAACAGTTGCACAGTGAAGTATGATAGTGAGTCTTCCACAGTCTTCAGCTGGCAGAAGATAGTTTGGAGAATGAAATCCATATTCAGAAAGGTTTGCAATAAATATATGTTGGTAAATCCATTCCGTAGACTACTAGGCAGCCAAATACACACACACACACACACAGACACATACACACACACATACACACACACACAGACATATACACACCCACATATACATACACACCCACACATACACACACATACACACACACAGGTGTATATATAAAGAGATCCGTGTGTACCAAAGTGGAAACATCTCCACGGTATATTATTGAAATTTTTAAAAAGATGCAGAGCATCAGCAGAGCTAAAACCTGCTGCCAATTGTATTAAATACATTACTTGCATTTATTTTATTTATACGATCCCTTTCCATGAATACGTAAGCAGCAGAAACGGGGTTAGGCCCTAATGGGTTGGGGGAGTGCATGACTGGGATAGAGGTTGGAAGATAACTTTTCGTTGTATATTCTCCCCCTTTTTTTAAGTCCATGCATTTCCTAATTTTTTAAAAAATGGGCCCCACATATTTATTGAACAATCAGTTAAAACCATTTAATCACGGTCCATTAAAGAAATACTTGGTGAAGGACGGTTCTTGAGAAAGAAGAACAGTTCCATACAAGTTTGGTAGGAAGTGAGGCAGCAAATGGTCACCGGCCTCCACCGTGCTGTGCTTTAAAAAGCTGGTGTGGCCCTGGAGGCATAAGTGTAGGAATCGTTAGATGATTAGATGTTTAGATGGAATCCAGCTGGTGTTTTATAACTAAAGAAGAGCAACTAACTTGAGGGAGGGCTTGGCGTTGAATACATATTATTTAGGGGCAGGGAAATAGAGTATGTGAGGAAATGTTTCAGAAACAAGTAAGTTTTAGGAAAAAGAGATTAACAATGTGAAGGCTTTTTGTCAGGAAGATAACAGCCTGCTATTGTGTCATTTCATAAAGGGATGAAAATGGAGGCATCTAAAAAATGTGAAAGGTTGCACAAAGACTTTTTTTTATTATGATGAATTAATTCTAAATAGCTCCCTCAGGGCTCATTTGTGAGGTCTTTCAGAGAGGAGTATAATTTACAAACAAGAGATATTTAATACGAATAGAACAATTTCTCTGGCAGCAGAGAAATTACATAGATGATGCTTTCATGTGTCTTCCAGCCTCCAGTTCCAACACACATCTGCTTGTCTCCGCGAGCTGAGAGAAGGGGGAGAGCTTTGTACCCTGCAGTGAATATTGAATACAGTTGTAGCAAGAGCATGGCCCCCTTCTCTTTGCAAAAATATCCCTTAAGTCCATTTTATAGCCTGACAGTTTCCCCTAGACTCGACATTATTTTTTCCAGAATCCTTATCTGTTATAGTAAATGTTGGAATTAAAACCACATTGCTGTCTTTCTTTTTAACGTAGATCCAATTAAATGCTCTGCGCACAACTTTCAGGCCAACTGACATTTAGTAGTATCTCCTAGAATGAAGAGGAAAACAACACTGGGCCGGGCGCCGTGGCTCACGCCTGTAATCCCAGCACTTTGGGAGGCCGAGGCGGGTGGATCACGAGGTCAAGAGATCGAGACCATCCTGGTCAACATGGTGAGACCCCATCTCTACTAAAGATACAAAAAATTAGCTGGGCATGCTGGCATGTGCCTGTAATCCCAGCTACTCAGGAGGCTGAGGCAGGAGAATTGCCTGAACCCAGGAGGCGGAGGTTGCGGTGAGCTGAGATCACACCATTGCACTCCAGCCTGGGCAACAAGAGCGAAACTCCGTCTCAAAAAAAAAAAAAAAAAAAAAAACACTGACAGCGGAGAGAACTTGATTTAGACAACCAGGGCTCAGAAGAGACGCAGAAGAGAGTGGCCAGTCCTGAGCTATTACTGCTTTCAAAATAAGCGCCTCCCGTCTTATGGTCCTGATGTACATGCACTCGTGTTGGGCTAGAGGGGGCATAAAAGCTTTAAATGGCTCAAGTGGGCCCGTGGAGGCTTCTGCCTTGTCAGATTTCACTATGATTAATCTCCTCCTTTTCCGCTTGAGATGCTGAAAAGGCTTTTCTGAGGAGGATCATCAGCGCCGCGTGCTGCAGGAAGTAGAGAGGAGCAGTGTAGGAACTTCGGTTACCGTCGCCGACATTGCCGCTCAGAATACTGGAGCCCAGCTCCCCAGCCCTGCATCTTAATTAGACACGTATTTGTTATAGCCCGGAAAGCAATGAGAAGGCCGGGTCACTGCCTCCTGGTTTCCTCCCTTGCCTGTATTCCCAGCACCAGGACAGCAGATCATGGACATTCTGATGATCAGGGTCTGTTGCTGGCCATCTGGTCACCCACTCTGCTTGTGTGTTCAGTGTATTTTTTATTTCCTCCAAAAATGAGAGCACTGTTTTTTATGGTATTGATGATAAAAGTTCTATTGTGATTCCTATTCTCACCTTCAAGAACTGCCATAACTTTCCCTTATTAGACTCAGAAAGACCCATCGTCATATCCGGTCTGTCTTGATTTTCCTGGTCTCCTCAACTAGAAAGGATTTTTAGGCCCATCACCCATTCGGATTCTTCTCAACAAACGTAAAGCTCTCCTCTGAAGTTCGGTTGTACTGTTTGTACTCTACAGTAAGTACTTAGCTACCTTCCAAGTGCCTAATCTTGATTCCCTCATCTAGAAAACTATCTCTCGGGTTCCTTTCCGTATTAACATTGCGGACATTCTAATGTATCATGGTCTGTAATACGAGAGTTTCTTTGATTTTATTTCTGTCTTCTTGGGTGTTCTGCTTCCTGAGTCTACCAGCCACTCCTCCTCGGCAGGCCTACGGACCTTTAAGATTTCCTCCACCGTCGTGACAGGACCTAGCACTTGCTCAATCTAGCCGCCTCCTCAGGAAGAATTAGCAAAGCCTCAAAACCGTATAGGAGATGAAGGGCATGGCGAAGCCGTGGACACAGTGAGGATCTGGTCTTCAGAGCTCCTCATTCATCTTTCATTCATGTTCTCCCGGTGGCTTCACCAAGCCTTCTCTTATCAGCACAGCCCACCCACGAAACACCATCTTCTCGATGACTCAGTACCTGCTACTGGGTGTGAAGACCAGTGGTAACTCAGAATGTCACACAAACTCTGTGTTCCAGTTATCCAGCACTGAAGAATTCACTACACCAGAACTTAGTGGCTTAAAATGATAACATTCATTTTGCTTATTAATCTGCAATTTGGGTGGGGTTTGCTGGGGCATCTCATCTCTGTTCTACTCGATATCAAATGGAGTGGCTCAGAAGGCGGCACATTGGGATTATCTCAAAGCCTGCATAGTCACGCATCTGGCGGCTGATGCTGACTGTCGCTGACACCTTACCTAGGTCTTCCAGATGGCTTCTCCATGGGGTCTGGCTTCTTTACAAAATGGTGGCCGGGTTCCAAGACTGAGGATCATATAGGCTCCAGAGACTGTGCTCTTAAACCCTGCACCATGCCATCTCTCACTTATACCATTTTGCTGGTTCTGAACTCGATAGCACACAGAAGGCGTGTCATAAAGGCATTTTCCCTACGATATCTAAAGAGGTGTTCATCTGACCCATAGTGAATTACCTTTAGGGATAGGGAGCTCATTACCACATAAGGCAGCCTGTTCTACATACTTGTTATTGTCCCCATGTAAAGAAGCCTCCTTCCTTACATGAGGTTGGTGGCTTCCTTCCTCTAACTTCTGTCCATTAGCCCCAGACATACTGTTGAGACCAAGGAGAGTAAGCCTTTCACATAGCGGGCACTGTGACAAGTGGAGGGGCATAATGCCCTCCCTGGGTTCTCTCTTCGTTTGGATGCCTGTTCCTGCATCTTTGATCTCTGCGGCTCCTCAGACTCCCAGTGAGTCTCACCTGCATAAGCGCTAGGTTGTCGGCGTCCCTCTTAAAACACAGAACCCAGATATGGACACAGTCCCGCCACATTTGTGGGTCGCATTATGACATGGTAATTGACCCTGTACCTTCTGACTCATGGCTTCTATTGCCATCTGGTAGGACACTTAGCCAGGGAATGTTATTTAACTGTTTACATATTTATGCCTGGTTTTCTCAGTTTTGTAAGAAGATTTT